TTGCATCCCTGGAATAAATACCCCTTGTTTGTGGTGTGTGATCCTTTTAATGTTTTGTTCAATTCGGTTTGTTAGTATTTTGCTGAGAATTTTTGTATCTGCGTTCATCTGTTTGAAATCACCACTGTTGAGAAGTGACACAGTGTTAATAGTCACTGAAACTGAGGAGACTTCTTCAGCAAAGAAACAGCGTCTGCGCCTTTCCTGTGTTTTCACTTAGACATGTTTCAATAAAACCAGGAGCACAGAGAAAGGTAAAGAGTAGGGCTCTTCCAAAAGAATCATGCTGTAAGATTTGAGAGATGGAGGAAGGTCCCTTACAGAAATTTGGGGTTTGAGAAGTGAACTTACGGGATAAGGGAGGAAGAAGGCGATCAGTAAATCTGAAAGCTGAGTTTTCTACATGTTATTTTTCTGTATTCAATTTAATCTCTGACTTAGCCAGATACTAAGTCACTTAAGTAGCCCTGTAGTAATTTTACTTTGAACTTTTAACTACAGTCCTTCAGGTGCTTTAATGGAAAAATCTAGGATTTTTTTTTCCTATCAAAAGCCACTGGTCCATGGGGGGAGGGATAAGTCTGTGTTGTAGTAAAATAAAATACAAGCTAATTCAGTTTTTCTAGGAAGAAATGTAACATGATCAAGGAAGCAGCTTTTAATGTTAAGAACAGAGACATTGTTTTGGAAAATCGTAGTATATTTCATTAAGAGCTCTGAACACGAGCTGTGGGAGTGGAAGAAGCTTTAAGAAATTGAATGCAGGCAATGGAGGCCAAGGTCTGGGGGGCTCTATGAACTCCTGAACCGAATGCTCAGGGGGTTGAGGCTGGGGCCATCTCCTTCTGCCAGGCCGGGAGCAGGCCTGGAGGGAGACCCCAGAGGAACACATGGGTTCATTTGTAATTTAAAACCTCTGTTTACATGTAAACTGCTAATATAGAAAATCCTGAAGGTGCTTGGACACAGGCGCAGGGAGGGTGTTCTGGGCAGAAGGGCTAATGAGCCACATACCGAGGTGGAAGGGACAGCCTACAGGGTGTTGTCTGCCTTCCGTCTCTGCCCGTGGCAGGTGGTGTGGGCTCCCCTATGCCCTGGGCCTTGTGAACTGTGGTCACTGCTGTCCACCACTGGACCTGTGCTCTGCTGCTAATAAAACTTGTGAACCTTTCTCAAACCCATACCCTAACCCATGCCCACTGGTTAGCTTAGGGGTTTTTTTGGCCATCGTTTTTATTTTTTTTTTTTTTTTAAGATTTATTTATTTATTTATACAAGCACTGGGTACAGTCAGAAGCACGGGAGAGTGAGAGGATTCACCAGAGACAGAGCGGGGAACAGAACAGGCAGACTGACGAAATACACTGCTGAGGGGAGCAGCGGGTGAGGCTGGAGAGGTCTGTCACGCCAAGTGGGACCCTCGCCGGCGGCCAGGGATCGAACGGGTGCTGCAGAGGCTGCGGGCAACTTCACAGCCCAGCACTCAACCGCTGCGCCACCAGGGGAGGCCTATTGGGCATCATTTTTAATACGCTTTGGTATCTGCGAACACTTGCTTGCCAGTGGTTGCTAGCAAATGCCTGAAGAAAATAATAAATCCCAGTGAATATGCAAACACTCAAACATGTTTAATTTCACAGGGTTTTGCAGTTCTGGCTGTCATTGTAATCTTTTGGTGTTACCTACATAAAAGATAATTAGTTTGTACAAGTGACGTTGCCCTTTGTTTGCATGATAGGATTAAATATGCTAAGATTTGATGGTTTTCAGGAAGAGAACTTGACTTTCAGACACCACACTGCCTGAAGCATTGGACAGACGTTACTCCGAGGCAGTTCACACCAGAAGTTTAGGGGGGCAGGCAGGGCTCACCCTAGGAAAGAATATTCTAACAACACAAAGTTTAAGGCCAGAACGGGCTCTTGGGAAGTTAATAATACGCAGCTAATGTTGCTGAGGTCAAGGCCTTGTGTCCGGCCTGGAAGCAGCTGGAAATGGATTCTGGCTTCCCCACGGCTGCCAGGGAGACCGTCTACATGGTTCTGAGGAGCACTGGGGCATGGCTGCCCTGTGCCTCTGTGCCTCGGCCTTGGGCCACAGAGAATAGCACCTTGTCAACCAGCCGACGTGTGCTGCCCTGCCACAGCCTGCAGGCCGCACCCCGGCCTCACATTCATGCTTCAGCCATGCTGGTGCACGGGGCAGCCATGAGCAGGCTTCCAGTCGGGGATGCTTCTGGGCTTGTGGGAGCACAGAACCACCTGGAAGCCTGTCGGACGGCCTGTTGGGCTCCACCCTGGAGCTGCTGAATCCGCAGGCTGGTGGGGCCTGGGCCTACGTCTGATGGGGCCAGGTGCAGCTCCGTGTCCAGGGGTGGCTCTGGTCGAGGGCAGTGGTCTCGATGGGGGTGATTTCTTCTCCCCTTCTCCCCACCCACTCCAGGGACATCTGGCAAAGTCTGGGACATTTTCAGTTGTCATCGTTGACAACCAGATTGCTGTGGCCTCAAATAGGTAGAAGCTCAGTGTAGGGTAAATGATTGTCAGGCTTTTCCACCCGCCCGCCATTAGGATTGATGATGGATCCTGCGGTCCTGAATGCATGCCTGATGGCGGGCACCTGGAGTAGGGTGTGGGCATACATGGGTGGGATACACCTGGACTGAGAGACTGGGCTCCTAAGGGGGCGTCACGGGGACGCCAGAGAAAATGGAAGCACCAGAATAGCAAGCGAGAGACTGGAAGAGAACCAGCATAGAAGCAGAGGCCACAAGAGAACACCAGAGAGCCCAGAAAGAGTGAAGATTCACTAGGGGCTAGGAGGTCTTCCAGATTCCCGCACCCCTGCCTGCCATGTACCTGGTAAACTCAATAAAAGCCTGAAAAAGCCCCCGAGGGCTCCAGGACTCCTCTCCTTCACCCGTCTGCTTGAATCATAGAGATCCTGCTCTGTGCCTTCCTGTCACTACAGTCGGGGTGCTAGCAAGCTTTCTATGACCCCACAGCAAAGGGTCAACCGCCCAGGTTTTAGTGCAAGGTAGAGAAACGTCCCTTGGGGAAATTCAGAAACTCTAATGTTGGTTCTGATCTGTGTGAAGTGTTGCGGCAGATTGCGACACAGGCTGTTTGGGGTGCTGCCGCCAACAACTTAGGGGGTCCAGTAAGGCCTCTGAGGGGAGGGGGGCAGACCCTGCTCTCTGCGGTCAGACCTGCAGGCAGGAGGACTGTTTGCTGCTCTCACTGTGGAACAAAACAAGGGCATTAAAAGGCACTGCCCAGGAGGCAGAGGTTCGAAAGCTTTGGAAGTGGGGGGATTCGCCAGGGGCGTTCTCACCTAAGAGCAGGGAGTGGGCCTGGGATAGAGATGGGGGAGGGAGCAGTGGGGCAGCCCAGGGAGGCCTTAAATGCTACCCCAGAGGGAACCTTCATCCTGCTGGCGCCAGCGAGGCTTTGAAAGGCTTTGAGCAAGCGTGTAGGTTGTGTCTAAGGAGACAGTGGTTCCAAATCCACAAGGCTTACCACTGCTCAGTCGGCCTAGTGAAAAGCATTAAGTTGTCTCAACTGCACTGGCAAATAAGACTTCCTTGTATTACCTCCATCCTGCCTCTTTGTACCTTAAACGTGGCCACTTGATACCCAGGGATTCCCGAGAAGAGCCAGAAAGGTCAGAAGATGTTGCTGTGAGGTTAGCCGTGCAGGGTGGGCACAGGTGGTGAGTCCTGCTCTCAGTTTGGAGCCCCTCAGACTCCCCTGGCTGCTCAGAGCCTGGCACTTTTCAAGGCTTCTGACCTGGGCTTTGCTGGCTAGTGGTTAAGTAGTCACAAGATGTTTTTAGTATCACTTCTTTCAGAATTTTCATCTCACACACATGGACACACATGCATATACATACACACATATTTATGTGTGTAAACACAATGCACACACGTACATTTTGCTCTTGTGTTCGTGTTTATAACATGCATGTGTGTGTACATGTATGCAGGCATGTGTGCCTTGCACATTCACAAAGACATTTGCATGCATATGTGTGTGTGCATACATCCATATACAAGGGCACATACACGTGTGCACACTCATACACATACTTGTGTATACATACACAAACATAAGTGCACGCACATAGAAAAACACATTAGCATCACGTGTGCACACACATACACCAAATACATGTAATTACTCCTCACAATCCCTTCCCCTGCCTCCCGCTCTCTCTCCAAACACATAATTGTTGGCTTCCTAATCCAGCAGCTCATGAGAACCCCGGTGCCTCCTCTCACTGCATAATGAGCTTGCATGTTTTTGTGACAAGGTGACCGATCAGCCAGCACCAGTGCTACATCACAGCCCCATGGAAAGCCCATCTCCCTGGGTCCTGGGGCAGTTTGGCCGATTCACAGGCACAAACGTGCACTGAACGCTCTCTGTGACGCCAGCACCAAACCAAGTGATTTTTTAAAATGCTTGATATTTGGTATTTTTAATACATGCACATAGTCAAGAAAATTTTAAAGGTATGAGAGTTTAATCGAGGAGTAAGGCTTCTTCCCTCCCCTGCCCAAGTGGTTCTTCTCAGAACTGTTCAGAATTGACTGTTCTCTATCCCCCCAAGCCTTCAACTTTGGCCCCCAGATTGCACTTCCCTCCCCACCAGACAGTGTAGAGCACACACGCTGTCCGCGGAAGGGACTACCTTTTGTCACCAGGGCTCAACCCCAACTGCGCTTCTTACCCCACACTCTCACCTCTGCCCCAGCATCTTACCCTCTGTTCGCATGGCCAGGACATCATCACTATCCTGTCAAAGAAAGGCCCCAGGCCTCCTGCTGGGGTACCACTGGAGAGAGCCTGGGAGGACCCTCTCTATTTAGAGGGTGTCACCCGCAGAGAAGCCGTCAGAAGACCAGACTGGGTTGAAATTGTGGCTATTTATGGTGCGTGCCTGGCTAACAAGACTGAACTGGGTTGGATGACTCGTGTGTCTCCTTTCTCCAATGACAGGTAACAAGGAGGGAAGACACTCCACGTTCTGGGTGCTGCTGAGTATCCTCCTGGGCGCCGTGGCCATGCTGTGCAAAGAGCAAGGGATCACCGTGCTGGTAAGGCCCGAGGCTCAAGGGGCTCCCCTCCCTGTGTACCTTTCCCTCCTGGGCAGACGTCTCAGTAGCCCTGCTTCAGGGACCTCCCGACGCCTGGGACCTAGTGCCATCTTGCAGGTGTAGACCTTCCTGGGCTTGTGCTGTGTTAGACCTGGCATTTCAGGTGGGAGTGGACTTCTCATTGGCTTTTATCAGCAACTGGTGGAAATGGAGTTTAGAAGTTCTTAAAGAGCAATAACTGGCTTTCTTGGAGAGGTCCTGTAGAAAAGAGGAAAGAGTAGTTTGAGATTTGGGGGGTGCCATCAAATTCACCAGTCCTAAATACAGCCACGGGCTGACGCCTCCTTGTTCTAGTCCTGACTAAACAGGGCTGGCCGTGTGTCACATTACCCTTGGTCTCCGGTGAGATTGCCTGAGGGAGTCCAGGCGTCCACCCCTCCAGCTCTGATCTGAATTGAAGCCCCAGGAAGGGACAGGCGTTGAAGTCCGCTTTTACTCCATTCCATTACTAGAGGGAATTCTAGAAATCTGGGATAGAAGTAGAGGGAAGAAACAGCAAAAATGTGGCTGTGAATGGCCCTGCTAGGAATGGGGTCGGGGGAGAATAGGTGTCATCAGAGCTGTTTGGAGTTTGGCACAGGGCAGGGAAAGATCCATGTTCTGTTGAGTTTTATCTGTGAGATGAAGATTAGCTCGCAGAGTATGACTGTGGCCAGGTACTTGAATTTCAAGAGTTATCTTTTAAAGTGTGCTCTAAGCCAGTGTTTCCTAACTTGGGCGTTATTGACACTTTGGACTGGATCATTCTTGCATATGGGGACTGTCTGCATAGCAGCATCCCTGCCTGTACCCCTAGATGCCAGTAAACCCCCTCCATGGTGACATCCTGGGATGGCTCCCTGGGGGCAGGATGATCCCATGGAGGTGCTCTGTGCTGAACCCTTGCTTTTCCCGAGTGTTGTTTGAGGACCAGTGGGTTATGTATTGGAAACCTAGGATCACAGGGCCTCCCCGGTGGCGCAACGGTTGAGCACTGGGCTGCAAAGCTGCCCGCAACCTCTGCAGTGCCGGTTCGATCCCTGGCCACTGGCGAGGGTCCCACATGGTGTGCAGACCTCTCCTGCTGCGCTCGCTGCTCCCCTCAGCAGTGTATTTCATCGGTCTGACTGTTCTGTTCCCCACTGTGGCTCTGGTGAATTCTCTCACCCTCCCGCGCTTCTGACTGTACCCAGTGCTTGTATAAATAAATAAATCTTAAAAAAAAAAAAAAAGATAAAAAAAAAGAAACCTAGGATCACAGATACCCCACTTCTCCTACACGGGCTGCTGAATCAGAACCTCCATTTAACATGCTCCCAAGGTAACCTCATTAACATTTGAAAAGCACTAAAGAATTAGGTTGAATTTATGTGAAAAAAAATACATCGTGAAATTTAGCTGATGTCAGAAATCTGACTAGACTGTCAGCATTTTGATGCTGCATTTAAATGGAAAGGAGGAGGCAGAGTCAGAGTCGTATTTGACTCAGTCCTTGTGACGTGTTCCCATCAGCCCTTGGGATGGTCCTGTAGCACAGGGCAGAAAAACAAAGCGTAAACAGACAGCAGCATTCCAGCGGGAAGCTTCTGTCTTTGAGAAAATGATTCACACCCAGGCAGAAATGGTCTTCTGTGACCCACTAAAATCAGGTATCGCTTGGGTGAGTAAAATCAGGATTCTTTGAAATGATTAACCCAGCACTGGCCCGTGTTTGGGATAATTAATGGCTCCCAGCATCTCTGGGAGAGGGTTAAGTAGAGATGTCATCTCTGCTCTGAAAACTGCAAATTACCACCGGCTGCTGATGATTTATGATCTTCTCAGCCACAAAGCCCCATATTAAGAAGATCCAAGTTGTGGAGGGGTGGCTTATGTAGATGCACATGTCTGCACACATGTGAACATACACACATCTGTGTATATGGTCAGTCACTTTGTTCCGATGGGGCAGGGAGTTCTGCCAGTTGACGTCACCTGGTGCAGCAGCAGCATTTATAGAGCCCATTGCAGGGTGGACAGTAGGACCCAAGCATCATCTAGCTTCAGCCTGGAACTCGAGGCATAAAACCTGCTTCTGCAGACGCAGCCTCACCTGCTGGAGAGAAACGTCAGTCACGACTAGAGGCTCTCAGCATGGGGGGAGCTGCAGCATCAGACCCCCCAAATCTAGAGGCTTAGACATCTTATTGCTGTCCTAACCGTTGTGGGCAGCGCTTCCCATTGATAGAGAGGTCTGTCCTCCCTGTGGGGACCCGGCTGGAGACACTTTGCCATCCTCAGGGTCACCCTCGTCGTCCTGTCATCTCCATCACAGCTGTGTGCCCAGCAAGCGCAGAAAGCCCGGGGACAGCTGGGAGGCGGAATCTGAGACTGACGTCTCCACATGTGGAATAACATCCTTTCACTCCGCGTCGTGCCGTGATGACGTTTGATGAGAAAAAGAAAGGCATTCCCAGCCCAGGCCACTGTCTGTGTGGAGCTGGCCACCCCCCTGTGTCTCTGTGGCTTGGGGTCTTCAGCTTCCCCCCACGTCCCAGAGATGAGAACCTGAGGTGTCAGGTCCAGGTCACAGGGAATGTGGGCGTGCACGGGTGTCCTGTCCAGGTGAGGGCCCGCCGTGACCCTGGGCTGCCAGGACAGGTTTTGGCCTCTCGTGACACTGAATTAGAATAATCCTGTGGGAAAATGAGGGAGCAAATGAAGACAGTTATTGATTTTAAGTGCTTGGAGTCTTTATTTAGAAATATGGTGATTTTTTAGTCATTTCATTAAAGTCACAGTTTCTAGGGACCTTTGCATGACTGAGTGAGGACTTCCTGTAAATTCTCTGCCCCCGCTTCTGCTCCACTTGCTGAAATCTGTCAATGTAAGAGGTGCGACTCCGTAGGTGGCTGCGTTTTTCAGGTCTGTGACTGCTTTTTTCCTTCTTATGCATAGTCACTGCACAAGGAAAAACTCTGTTTTATAAGCAGGGGCTGCTTTATTGCAAAGGCCACAAAGCAAGTCAGGGGTCTCTGGGGAACTTCTGAGAGCCCAAATTTTGGGCTGTCTTGAATCTTTTAGTGCTGTCATATACAAAGCTGTGACCGGCAGGAATGCACTGAGCATTAAATATATTACTGGGAGCTGACTATGTGAAACATAGGGTGTGTGTGGGTTTCTTTTTCTCTTTCTTTTTTTTTTTTCTTTTAACCACTGTAAGGGTCTCCTCTGATTATCTCATCTATACATTCCTGGTCTCAAGTCAGTCATAAAATCATGATATATAATTGCCGCCCAGTCCGTTAGGCTCGGCCGTCATCGCTTGCCTTGCTTTTCTCCATAGGGCCTGAACGCCATCTTTGACATCCTGGTGATTGCCAAAGTGAACATCTTGGAAATGGCCCAGCGGCTGCTCCATAAGGGTGCGTCTCTAGAGGTGAGTGCGCGCTCTCCAGCCCAGGTGTGGAAAATGTCGGGTACCAGCTGTTTGAAAATGCCATTTTGAAGTAGTTTTTGTGATTTTGGAGTCCAGAAGAGCCCACCCTTCAAAGCGCGGCGCCAGAGTCCCAGGACAGAACGCCGGCACATCTGTCCTTGGGCCGGGCCGCACCTTCATATGGAAGCCTGAGACATTGGGGTTCTGGGGTGTCGTTTCAGAACATCGGTGGATTCAGAAACGGGGGCCTCCTCTTCAGAATGACCCTCTTGGCCGTGGGGGGAGCAGGGGTGCTCTATGTGCGCTGGAAGGTCATGGGCACCGGGCCGCCCGCCTTCACCGAGGTGGACAACCCTGCCTCCTTTGCCGACAGCATGTTGGTCCGGGTGAGTGCTGAGCCGGCCTGCCATGGGTCAGTCCCCAAGTCCACCTCCTCACTCCTCCTCCAGCACAGAATCCCAAGCAATGGCACCCTTCCCTCCTCGTTTGCTCTCATGCAGGCTAGAATAGAACAAAACCAGGTTTTCTTTGGGGTGGCAGGGAAGGGGCGATGGGGTAACGGCCTTGTATTTGCTTTCCAAATCAAAATTAAAGCGGGATGGAGCCTTCTAGATCAGGTTTCTTGCCATCCTCCTCAAGGAGTCCCCGAATGCCATGACTTTTATTGTAAGAGAAATTGGCACGGTGGGCTTAAACATAACCGTGCCCATGGTACAGGAAGGCTGTGTGTCAGGACCTTTGTGGCGCGGGCTGGCTTCTTCAAAGGCAAGAGGTCCAAGCCACAGGTTCTGAGCTGTGCATTTCCTAGAAACATTCCAAAGAATGACATTTGCTGATATTGTCAGGCACAGAGGTCACTTCTGGGTCTCAGGGGTAGGTCACAGACTTTGGAAGTCCCCAGCTAAACAGGACAGCGTTTAATCAAAAATACAACAAATGCATAGAGAACCTGGTGCCTTTGCTGTATTTTCATGCATTAAAATCTAAATATATTTAAGGCATTGGAAACTGTGGCCCCCTATCCATGTAAAAGGTGGCCTCATTTCACTGTCCGCACTTGCTCCCTTGAACAGAAGCATGTGAATGCCTCCACCATGGAGTTAGGATATATGCAGATGTATTCTTTTAAATTTAGTGTCAAATAAGTGTTTGTTTTCCTCTTGACTGACAGGCCATAAACTATAATTACTACTACTCGTTGAATGCCTGGCTGCTGCTGTGCCCCTGGTGGCTGTGTTTTGATTGGTCGATGGGCTGTATCCCCCTCATTAAATCTGTCGGTGACTGGCGGGTCATGGCACTAGTGGCTCTCTGGTTCTGCCTGATTGGCCTGACATGCCAAGCTCTATGCTCAGAAGACAGCCACAAGAGAAGGTAAGAGGCAGCCCAGAACCTTCTACTCCGGTTGAGCCAGAGCATTTTGCTAATAAGTGCAGCACTGATCTTGGCAGTGATTCTGTAGCTAGAAGGTCTATGGACATTTCTTTCAAATGCGCATTTAGTCAGTGGCTGGCTTCAACTAGTGGGGAGTGAATGTGATGCAGGAGGGTTGTGGAAGTAACCTTTTAAGATCCTTTCTGCTATCGGTGGCAAAGAGTAATTTATGGCCAGGGCAGAGGGTGTGATTGATGTGTGTCATGCCCATCACTTCACTGTTCTTCAAAAACGCTGGTGACTGCTACAGTGATTCCTTTTGTCTTTGTTGGGTACAAATTAAACTGCTGTCCTAAAAAGAGTCTTTCTTACCCCAAATAAAGAAAAAAGCAGCTTGAAAGGAAATAACTTGGAAAAAGAAATGTTTCATGAGAAGGAAAACTAAGATGATTTCCTTAAGCACTAAAGCACGGTGTTCGTAGAATGAGACAAGCAATTTTTCAAAATTGTCACACAGCCCTTAGCGATGGGACATATTCTGAGAAATGCATCGTTAGACAATTTCTTTGATGCAGACATCCTAGAGCATATTTACCCAAATCCGCAAGGTCACACTTAGGCCCTGGGGTGTGGCCCCAGCCTCTTGGGGCCGCCCTGGTATGTGGGACCTGTTGTTCACAAAAAACGTGGTTAATTGCAGTACTTGCTTCAAGTTCACCCGCATCTTAAATTGATGCGCAATTCTCAAGGGCAACAAACTTTGGGGATAGGAGTTTTTTCTTTTCAATACTCTAAGCACAGGGTCTGGGAAGAAGCCACCAAATTTGACCTTGTGCTTCTTCACGTGGACATTGGAAATCATCACTTAGCTCCAGAGATGTTTCGTTTCACACCTTTTCTTGGGTTGACTGAAGTTTCTGGCGATGTAGTGCCCCAAAGTGACAGCAGTTTATTTAAGATTTTGTGAAATTTAAACTCATTGAGTATTACAATTGCTGTTAAGTTAAGAAAGGAGATGATTTTTTTCCCATGAAAACAACACTCACTGAGCTCCAGGGCCCGCAGGGGGTGAGGTGGAGTTAGGGGGAGGGGAGCGAGCACAGCCTCCCTCGAGTTGTTCTGACCTTATGGGGGTGAGCTGCATGTCCTGGGAATTTTGTCCTCTGGTTGATGCTAAGGGCCTGGGTAAGATTGTGATGTCTTATCCTAAGACCACTGAGCTAAATCCTCCCTGCTGATAACTGTTCCTGCAGCTGCTCCCTTTCTCCATTGACCACATAAAAACAGAAAGACTCTTCTCATCCGTTGAAGGCTAGGTAGGACATTTTTCCTGAGCAGACGGAAAATAGCTCTTACAAGCACTTTCCACTTTGCAGGGTCCTGACGCTGGGCCTGGGACTGCTCGTTATCCCATTTCTGCCCGCGAGTAACCTGTTCTTCCGTGTGGGCTTCGTGGTGGCGGAGCGAGTCCTCTACCTCCCCAGTGCCGGCTACTGCATGCTGCTGACCTTCGGATTCCGGGCTCTCAGTAAACACACCAAAAAAAAGGTACTGGGCCGGAGTGCGCGTGACGGCGAGCCAGGACGGCGTCTGCTGGCCACTGTGCCATTCACCGAGTCTCCCTGTTCTCTAGAAGCTCCTGGCTGCTGTCCTCCTGGGGATCTTGCTCATCAACGTGCTGAGGTGCCTGGTGCGCAGCGGCGAGTGGCGGAGTGAAGAGCAGCTCTTCAGGAGCGCCCTGTCTGTGTGCCCGCTCAATGCCAAGGTACGCAGCTGCCGTCACCCTGCCCACTCCTGGAGACTAAGATGTACTTAAGTCCAGCTGCCTGAGAGTAATGCTCACCTTCCTGCGAGGCCTGCAGGAGCCCATGACCAAAAATGAGTTTTTTTGTTCCTTTTGATAAAACTTACTAAAATGCCACTTGGGCAAAATAACTCAAAAGAAATCTTTAAATCCAGGCACATTGCTTCGCTGAGGTCTCTCATCCTCCAGTTGGTCCAGTCACCCTCTGGGCTGGTGCCGGGAGGTGACAGCACATGTCCAGCTGGGGCTGGGAGGGGGGTGCAGAGTCAGGCCATTTAGAGAGTACTTCTCAGCCCTGAGCGCTGGCCCCAGCGGTGACCAAGCACTCCCCTGCAGTGTGGAGGTGACCCTCCTGGGAGTGGACAGTGGCTCGGTTCAGGGAGTATAAATCCTAGAGTGGACATTTCTGTCACCTGTGGTTTCTCTGATTATGCTTCCTTTGTCAGGTTGGGGGGCAGTAAGTGCATAGACTTCAGTACAGGCCGTGTCTCGTTGGAGAGATCTGGTTCCTTTGATGCCTCCAAGCCCTCTGCTTAACAAGCTCTGCCTCTTGGGCAAAACTAAACTGTGTGGGTCTCTCAACGCCCTCTGTAAAGGGAGACGTCCAGCTCCTGTTTGTCTTACGAGGCTGAAACAACGGCAGGCTTCTGAAGTGCTCCGTGTGGCCATCGGCACTCAGGACGTGGCCCAGAAATGTTCGCTTTCTCGGGCTCATTGTATTTTGAGAGGAGATGACAAGAAGGGACTGCTGTGTGCTTGGAATGGGAGGCCGAGGGGTTAGGTTAGAAGAATTTTCTGTTGGGATAGATGATTACTAAATAATAATGCATGCTTTATTGGGTCATCAAAATTGGAGCTTCCTAGGATGCTTAAATGTGAGCCTCTGAAGCAAAAATAAAAAAAGTAGTGTCTGGAATTCTGTCTTATTTCCACATTCTGTATTTAAAAAAAAAACAACAACAGTGATTTCAGACAAAATTAAATGAATAAATCCATTGAATAGCTGACATCTTACTGTGACCCTGCAGTGAAGAATAGGATCAAAGGTACTGACTCTTTGTTTGCCTGGGAATAAAGAGCGTCATTCATGTTGTAGTTACGAGACTTAGATAAAAGAGGAAATTACTCAAGCTTTTATTGTTAATTTGATTTGCTGACCCATCAATTTATTTGGTACTACTAAAAATAAATTGCCTGTGATTTAATTTCATAAATGTTAATAGATTTGTTTTATTTTTGCTCTTCTGTTTGAATAGCAGTAATTACCTCCTTCTATTTATACAGTTCTTCCCACAAGATCGCAGATTTCTTTGCGGAGGCTCTGTAATTAATCTCCATTATCCTCCCTTGAAGGTTTTTAGAGGGAGGATATTATTTTCTTTCATTTTGCAAATGGGAGAAACTGAGGCATACAAGGATGGAATGTGATACCGAGGTTAGTGATTTGGGAGGCTCGATGGAGACCTAGTGTGTGGTGCCCTGGCCACGAGAGGGAGGGGACGTAGGTAATACCCCACGTAGGAACCCACGCGTCTGCCCCAAAAGTGACTTCATGTATAGGCCGGGCGTGCACACAGTTACCTGTGTGCATGGTTTTCCCTTTTAAATTTAAGACATGCACATGATATCTTCAAAATGTAGCTGGTAGTGATAGTCCTTTCTAAGAACTTTTTTTAGGGGAACTATTCAGCGTGAGCAAGATAGAGCTTTAGTTTTCACTTTGTACTAGCAATTGAAGTGTCATAAAAATGATTTCCCTCTTTGGGGAACAAAACAGCTAGGATGATTTTAGGAAAGAGACGTCATTTAGGGAGAAACTGGTTTCCTTCAACTCAGTTGCAAGGGAGACGTTTTCTGTGCTGGTTTCACTTTATATCCATTGACTATGAAGGCAGCAGTTGTCACCTGGTTCTGGATGAAACACAGATTTACAGAGACTCACAGTATCCAAGGAGGTGGAGCTTGGTCTGCATTCAAGTTACCCACAGTGCCTTGCAGGTGGTGGGTGCTCAGTATTAAAGATGGGATTGAACCAGATGAAAATGGCATTGGCTGAGCCTCCAAGGGCGAGATGTGGAGTTTCTAATTATAGGTGTTATAGCCACTTTTTGTTTTAAGTCTTAAAGCTGTGTTGTACTTTGTATCAATGCTGTGATAAAATCTTAAATTTCTTTAACGAAGAAAAGGATCATTCACCACAGTAAGCTATTTCCTTAAGGACTGGCATTTTCCTGTGCTTAAAACATTTTAGGTTCGACATCAGTAGAAACAAACTGCTCTTAATGCTGGAGTTAAAAGTGCCTTCCATTTTCACTTGTTTTTCTTTTTTTACTTTTTGGTTTTTGTTTTTATTTGTGCTTCATTTTTGTTGCCTGTCATTGGGTCACAATAGTTGGGTTTTCTGTCTGTGACTTCTGTACCTGTTCATTGCCTGGGCTGATGAATCACAACACTGGAGGGAAAGTTCAAAAATAAACAGGCTTTTTCAATATTTTCCCTTGTAGGGAAAGGAAAATCACTCATCCCTTAAACACGGTTGCACAAGCAAGCTGTGTGTTGAGGGGGTTGTTTTGTTTTTTGCAGTGACTTATCTCAGCAGTTTTTTTCCGGCCAAGTAAGCCTCCTTGCAAGCCTGGGAGAAGGCTGGTCTCTGGGTACTCGGTTCTTTTTTTTTTTTTTTTTTTTTTTTTTTTTAAGATTTATTTAATTATTTATACAACAACTGGGGTACAGGCCAAATGCGCGGGAGGGTGAGAGGATTCACCAGAGATAGAGCGGGGAACAGAACAGGCAGACGGACCAAAGACACTGCTGAGGGGAGCAGCGGGCGCAACAGGAGAGGACTGCCGTGCCATGTGGGATTCTTGCTGGCCGCCTGGGATCGAACTGGCGCTGTAGAGGCCAAGAAAAACTTTACAACGTGGCGCTCAACTGCCTGCGCCACCAGGGGAGTGGGTCCTCGGTTCTTAATGATGGACAGCGTCCTTCTCGGGGCTGTCTCAGATTTTTAACTAGTTCCATGGAATTAGCAGCAGTCTGTATGGCCAGGTCCCCTCCTCTCTGCCCTGCTCTTCTGGTCTCTCGAGTTCCAGTATCCAACAGAACACCATCTATACTGCTGTTGAACTCTTTGTCTGAGCTTTTTATTGAGAAAACAGAATTTCTCCATAACAAAGGAAAGCAGCAGGAGCTTGGGGTGGAAGAGGAGGGAGTCTGTTGATGTCTGGGAGAAGCCAATTTGTATTCTGGGGACCACAAGCACTAGCTCCCAGGTTGGAGTCTCCAGATGCGCGTCTTCTTCGTGCAGCAGGGAGGGAGGGGACCCCCTTCCAGGCGGGGCCTGGGTAGGCACATGTGGGCCTGGGTAGACACATGTAGGCACACGTAGAACAGAAGCACGCTCTGGCCAGAGCGGGAAGCAGCCTCCTCTGAGCTGTGGTTTGAAGCTGATGGTGCTACAGATGGACAACCCTTTGGTCCAGGAGGTTTAAATTACTCTGCGGGCTGCACAGTAGTGCCTAATTCACAGTAGTGCCTAACCCATGATTTTTTTTTTTTGTCAGATTGTAAACAAATGTATAGACTTGAAAATTGGCAGCTAAAACATGATGGACGTAGTACTTGACACAGTGTTGTATTGCCCCAGACACATCCAGAAATCTTAGTATTTTTGAAGACATGCTGTAACTGTCGGTTGAGGCTGATGAGGCAGGACATGGTTATGTTCCCAGAGGCTTTTGAAGTGTCCAATACATTATTAGACCGTTCTTGTCTCTCACAATGTGCCGGCTTGCTCGGGCTGCTTAACCAATGTGATGAGTCACATAAACAGCCCAGGTGGGTGACTGCAGCCGCAGAAACGTTCGGTCTTGTGGTCTGGAGGCCGGAAGTGCAAGATCAGCATCGGCAGGTTGGTTTCTCTGAGGCTCTGTCCTGGGCTTACGACGGCCGCCTTCTCTCTGTCCTCACGTGGTCCCCCCTGTGCAGGGGCTCCCGTGTCTGTGTCCAGATCTCCCTTCTCAGCAGGATACCAGTCAGGGGAGGTGGGGCCCACCTCACAGCCTCACTTTAATTTGGTTATCTCCCCACAGTCGCATCTCCAAACTTGGAGGCATTAGCACTGCAGTGTGTGGATTAGGGCGGCAACCCAGTTCAGCCCGTAACACACAACAAAAAATGGTTATTTTACTTGAAGAAAAGTAACAGATGGTGTGACTGGGAATCACCTCCCGCAGGCAGCCCCTTCTTCACACACAGCACCCAAATCCGTGGGTGTGACGTGGTGAGAAGAAACACAAGCTGTGGAGCCTGCCTCCAGCCCGAGGTCAGACTCGTGGGGAGGCCGGAGCCGTCCTGCCGCCTGGCCCGGCTGCTGTGGGGAGGAGAAGCCACTTCCACAGCTCTGTCTGGCACCTCTGCGCACGTGCTGCTCGGGGGGCTGTGACACGAGCCACACTCAACGCCTGCTTGGTGAATCTCTAGCATCGTTTCCTCAGAGGCACATGGCCTTTATCTTGGAAGCCTCCAGAAGGAACTTAGGATCTCCAGTAAGTTCTTCTGCCCCGGTGCAGCTCAGGTCCTCATAACTTAGCCTGAGCCCACAGCCACCTGAGAAAGTGACCTGTGTTGCCCCCACCCTCGCCCCACCTGTGTCCTCACATCAAGGCGACCCCAGGTTTCAGATAGGTCTGCAGCGGTTGAGCTGTCACTTGTGGTACTTTACCACCCTCTTCCACCATTAAAGATTCTCTTGATGAAGTAAAATTCTCATAATATAAAATTAACCATTTTAGTTCTTCAAAATATTAAAAATAGAGATGCCATATGATCCGACAGCTGCATGTGATGGAGAGCTTGTGTGATGCGACATATCAACATATCCCACCTAACGTTCCCCGTGGGGGCCTCCAGTCTGAAGTTCCATGAGAGGCGTGAGGTGGGAGGCCTCCCATCTGGGCTGGCTGGCATCTCGGGGTGACGGCCCCACTTGTGACATGACCTGCTCCTCTTCGAGCCACTCTGGCCTCTCCCCTGGGCTTCCCCTAACAAATGGGACAGATTCTTCTCCCCCCACACAAGGCAACCCCCGGCACGTCTTCTTGGCTTCTGAAGTTAGAAACCGGCCTTCATCTTGACATGCTCCCTCGCTCTCCCCTGTCAGCAAGTGTGGCCCTTTGCTTCTTCTGTTAAAACGCACACCTGCAGGCCTCCCTGGTGGCGCAGCCGGTTAAGTGCAGCGCGTGAAGCTGTCCACAGCCCCGCAGTGCCAGTTCGATTCCGGCCAGCCTTGGAGCAAGCCACATGGCAGGCAGACCTCTCCTGTCTCGCCCGCTGCTCCCCTCAGCAGTGTGTTTCATCAGTCTGCCTGTTCTGTTCTCCGTTCTGTCTCTGGTGAATCCTCTCACCCTCCCGCACATCTGGCCTGTACCCCGGTTCTTGTATAAATAAAACAAATCTTTTAAAAAAAAATGCACACCTGCAAGGTTTCAGCTAAGGTTCTAGTGGGTGGGTCTTTTTTAAATACCCTTTCTTTTGCTAGAAGATAGGATTGATATCCCAGCTCTGAACAAAGGGGTTTATCAGCTGATGGCCAAGTTATTCTCTGTATTTTCAGGTTCACTACAATGTTGGCAAAAACCTGGCTGATAAAGGCAATCAGACAGCTGCCATCAGATATTACCGGGAAGCTGTGAGGTAGGCCAAGCATCTTGTCAGGCTTGCGGTCATGCCTCACTTAACGACATTTGTGGACCCATAAGCAGTGGTGGTGCAAGGGCTGCACTGTATAGCCTAAGAGCGGGAGGACTCTGCAGTGGAGCTATGTGTCATTACGCTGTGACGTTCACACGACAACAGTCACAAAGTAATGACTCGTTTCTCAGAGTTATCCCAGTCATGAAACGACGCATGACTTACGTTTCTAAGATTGAAAAGCTTGTCCCCATAAAAGCCCCAACTTTGAGAGATATTTGCCAATTCCTGAGAGTTTAGTGGCGACAACTGAGCATTAACAGACAACTTGGTTTCTCTCCCACATCCAGATTAAACCCCAAGTACGTTCACGCCATGAATAATCTTGGAAACATCTTAAAAGAAAGGAACGAGCTGCGGGAAGCAGAGGAGCTGCTGTCATTGGCCGTGCAGATCCAGTAAGCCTGGCGTTTATAGCTGCGCTCCTGGCAAAGGAATGAGCTGCCTCCTGGGCCCTGCCTGTCTCTTGCCCTGCTGATCTCTTTCCAAAATGCCCTTCCAGGCCGGACTTCGCGGCAGCCTGGATGAACTTAGGCATCGTACAGAACAGCCTCAAACGGTTCGAAGCTGCAGAGCAGAGCTACCGGACGGCAATCAAACACAGGAGGAAATACCCAGATTGCTACTACAACCTGGGGCGACTGGTAAGTGGGGGGAGCTGATGTCTGCAGTTTGCCCAGCCTCTCCCCAAGATCTGTTCCCAGGCTTATCTCATTGAATGTAGCTATTCAGTTTCCTTATACGTAACTTTTAAAGCTCTAGTTAGAAGCAATTCAACTTGAATTGGTCAAGTTTAAGAGGTCACGAAAGCAACAAGAATAAATTACAATTTTTAAAGTCCCTGGTGCCCTATAAAACAGTCCTTCATGAGCTTACTTCCTGATAAACATCAGTTTTTCCCCCTTTTAAACCAGGAATTGAGTAAAAACAGATTAAATAACACACCCGTAATGTGATTGCTGAGCTTCCTGCTCTCCCCCTCCGGCACCTGCGTCCGTGGGCTTTTTCGCTCATCACTGTTTGCCTCATAAAGGAAAGCCCAGGAGTGCTTGGGATTTGTTTGAAAAGGAAATAGAAAATAATGTATTCTGTGGTGACCTTCTTTAGTTACTGGCAGAATACTTAAAGATCTGAATGCCCTTGATTTTCCTTTTCTATCATGTCTTTCTTTATTTAGGTGTTACAGCTAATACAGTAAGTTAAATCACTGAAAGTCTGAATTTTTTTCATCATGACAAATGATAGCAAAATAGCCTGCCATTGTTTCTGAAAAGCTTCCATAAAGCTCTTGGGTTTTTGAAAATGAAGCTCACAACGGTACCGATGTGAGGTGACAGAGGCGGTAACTGACCTCCTTGTCATCATTTTGCGGTGTCCATGTCTATCAAGTCATCACCTCGATGTTTAAATCCACGTGTGTTAGATGCCAACCATATGTCAATAAAACGGGAGGGGAAAAAACCCTACCCACAACTAGCAAAATAGCCAGGAATGTTTACGTATCATTTTCCAAATTGTATCCAGCCTGACCTCGCAGGAAGGATTGCATGCAGCTATTTTAGGGGGATGCCTGCTGATCCCCATTTTAAAGGCCCGAAGCCTCTGGTCTTGTGGATCCTTGTGTTATCACAGTCAGTGATTCATCAAGCAGGTTGTACATCCACTCATCCCACCCCATCTCAGATTCAGGGAGGGAGCAGCTGCACGCACAGGCCATCTGTATTTACAGAAACAGGCCCCCCAAGTCCCCTGGGAATCCAGTGCCCCCTTTCTTGGTCCCCCATAGGGAAGCCGATCTGTCTGTTCTTGGAGCAGACGGGCTGACCAGCCCAGAGTCCAAGAGGCTATTTGGGGAAAGGAACCCAGAAAACGTGATTCCAGTTTCTTATTTTCCTTTCACATTCTAAAAGGACAGGTTTATTAGGGAAAGGAGAAGGAAAAAGAGGCACCTGCACATCACATGCGGCAGGGGCCCTGCCCAGCTCCCACCAGGGAGTGTGCTTGGTCTTCACTGCCTTCTTCTAGATGGTGATGTTTGAGTTGTGAAACGCTATGAATGGGGTGTCTGGGGGCAGGAACCTGCACCCCCGCCATAAGGGGCTCCCCCCTCGGCTTAAGTTACTTCCGAGGGCAGATGCCAAGTGTGCCTAGATACATTTTCAAGTGAAGTGGCTTGCACTTTCTAATATTTTTAAAGAAAAAAATGAAAATAGATACCAGGTTTCAGTAACCCAGGAAGATGTCTGCCCTCTGTACATGCTAACTCGAGTGCAGAAACAAGGAGTCATTCCTCCCTGGACAGTGGGAAGGCGGTAGGATGTGACTGAACCCGGGGAGCAGCAGGTGCTGCACACGGGAGCGTGACAGCAGGTGCCTCTTGTCCTGTCACTTCCTCTGGGCCACATGCCCTTCTGTTTTCAGTACGTTAAAAAATTCTGTTTTATGAGCTAGTTCCCTGCATTGATATTGAGACAGCTTCTGTATGAAACCTGAAGATTCAGGGGAAGCTGAGATTGTTCTGGAGGAGGAAACAGCCTTTTTCCTCCACCCTCCCGCGTTGTCTGACTAGGGCCCTTAAAGACAGACCAACACGAGGAAGGCAGAGCTCACGAACATGCTCGGTGTGTGCCCAGGAGAAGCGCGGTGAGAATTCAAAGGGGTGGTTAGAACCGGGGCTTCCAGAGCTCTCAGCAAAGAACCAGTCACAACAGCAAGGACAGTTAATTGGCAGAGAAGTGGCGAGAGAAAGGAAGGAGCCGTGTTCGACACGGAAGGTGGGAGGGTACAGCCCGAGGAAACCGATGCGGGAAGGCGTGTTCGTGTGGGTCTGAAGGCTCCCAGGAGAGGGGTTATGTGGTCCTCAGGATGACCTCGGCTTTGCATGGAACAGAATCCGGCAAGCTGTGGGGTGCTGCTCTCTGCATCTGTTGTACCTCAGGTGCTTCTGTGCGATCATCCTGATGCTAAAGTGGGGCATTTGGGTGCCATTTTTTTGATCCCCTGCATTGTTCTTAGGAGGGAACTGGAATGCAGTAAAGCTTCACCATAATACAGTAAGACAGAAAATTCAATCACATGCAAACACAGGGCGGGTCCTTGCAAAGCGAGGCAAGTGAGGCGAGGACTGGGAGGTGTCTGAGCAGTAGCCGTGGGGGGTTATGCGGGCATCACTGTGTCTCTCTCGTCTGGTAAGCTGGTCCTCACACAGTGACAACCCTGGGAATGCTCCTTTCACCCCTTCTCCCCTTCTTTCTGGAGGTAGCTCTTCTTTTAGCTCACTGCTTGCACAGTGAGTGTGTCTGCCTGCTTGGCTAGATTTGAACTGTCTCACTTCCTCACTGGCAGCGGCCTCCCTCTGCAGTTCCTCAGGATTTGGAAAAGAGGTTTGGCGCTAAATGAGCCTTTGTAAGAGTGACATCCAAGGAAAGGAAGACAGAATGTAAAATACAGAAATAGCATGTGCTCCAGCCCCTGGAATTCATCACCGCTCTCACACAGAAGATCATCTGTGGTATTAAATAGACTGAGACCTTGTCCTGGCCTCTGTGTATATTGTTTACTAATTATGCTACCGTGAAATGATCTTCTGTGTTCCCTTCTGCCAGCTGTGCTTGCTTATTTAAAGATTTTGCTCTCCATTGTTGTTTAATTATCCAGCTTTTGCCTGCTTGACAGCTTAAAAGCATTAAGAGCTTAATCTTTAACAGCTCAACCAACACATTTATATATTCGTGAGTAAGCGGAACTTAATAACTTAAAAGTTTCTTTTGTAAAAATCCTCCTTAGTCCCTGTTTAGTAACAGGAGACAGAAATGTGTTTTGATTTCTGGAACCAGATAAAAGGAATATAGTGCAGTTCTTGTGAAATAGGAAACTGGCAAGTGCTGGATGCTCTGGGACACTTTACTGATATTAAGGAATTAGAGAAATCGTGATTGAAGGTATAACTGTAGATATTATATATAGAGAGAGAATGTGCAAGAGATCTATATATATGTATGTATGTATGCATGCCTCTATATATGCATAATTAATTATTCAAGGAGTAATTACATTAGTCAGGAGCCACCAAAGAAAACCAACCATGCTAAGTACTTTAAATAGAAAAGATTCAATACCAGGGATTGCGCAGGTGGATGTTGGAAGACTTACGGTGGTCATGTTAACGCGGGGATGACGAGGAAACCAAGCAAGTTTGGCAGAACAGAGAGGAAGGAGTGGTGAACTTAATAGCTGAGGTGAATTTAACCAGAAGTTAAGAACTCAGAGAAGGGGCCCCCATCTCAGGAGCTACCCCAATCGTAAGAACTGCAATCAAGAAGGAAGGGCCTCTACTTCCAGCCTGAGACCAGGATGAGGGGACTTAGCCTTTTCACAGACTGCCAGGGAGAGGGAAGGAGAGAGAGTGGCGTGGGGGGCTTCTATTGGCAGAAACTTAAGGAGAAGCCAAGTGGCAAAGGGCCCTGGGAAATGTAGTTTGCAGACCCCAAGCCCCGGCATCACAGGACACAGGACTAACAGGTAAATAGGTAAATTTATGTATATAATTCATCTACCTTCTGGACAGGAAGTTCTTAACTAAATCACAATTTACCGTTTCCCTTAAAGTGTTTGTGAACTTTGTACAGCTGTTGTAAGAAGGTCAAGGTAAAACCAAAGTAGTTTACCTGATTTAGTCTGTTGTTGTTCTTCAATAAATGGTAACAGGGGCCTCCCTGGTGGCGCAAGGGGTTAAGCACCGCACTATGAAGCTGTCCGCAGCACTAGTTCAATCCCCAGCCTGCCAGGGAGCAACCAACATGGCTGTGCTGCTCCCCTCAGCAGTGTATTTCAGTCAGTCTGCCTGTTCTGTTCCCCGCTCTGTCTCTGTTGAATCCTCTCACCTCCCCCCATACCTCTGGCCTGTACCCCAGTTCTTGTATGCATAAATAAATAAGTCTTTTAAAAAAATGGTAACAATAACAGTAGTAATAAATGGTAAAATGGGTAAAGAATAGATGAAGTTAGATTTGTTTCCTAGGTTAGAAAGAAGGTCATCACAGATTGTGTCCACGTGACTCAAATGCGTGTCACTTGCTGGAGAGGATTGACAGAAGTGGGACATCACACATAGGCAGTTAGTTGGGATAATGAAGCAGCCTAAATTATTTTAAGTTACTGAATTTTTCATACCGTTTCTTCATTTAAAGGGTAAAATATTGTAACGAGTTTGAGTCTCATGGGAAATTGTGACAACATCTTTAGCAAATGGATATTCGTAAATGTTTCCATAATTCATTAAACCTTTCTTTTTCTGCATAATCTGTCACCTCTTTGCTGTGTGGGTCATGCAGTAAGTCAAACTGTTTGTGTTCTCTAAGGAAAAGACAGACTTGACAGTAAGGAAATAGCCCTAAATGCTGACAAATTGTTATCATTTGTACTTTTTGCAGAGTTAAAGGAACCAAGTTCATTCAGATGAGATGTGCATTTGAACTGAGTTAAGGAGGGCAAGAAGGTCACCTGCTGAAAAAAAAAAAACCCAGCGCTTTCTGCCTCTGCGGGCTTTTATTCGCTATGCAAATTGAGAGCCAGCCATTGTTGGCTCCTGTTTTCCATGTGGATCCACAGTCCCTCTCAGCAGAAACAGGCAGTTCTCTCCTTCCTCAAGGGGCAAACAGACTCCAGAATGTCCAGGGGCCTCACAGAAGGGCATAAGACTCCCCTCCGTTGCTTACTGCAGCTTAAATGCGTCGTTTGTTAGGAAGCCTGCACTAGGCAGAGGGGATACTAGCACATTCTTCACAATGTGAGTTGGACACATTTGACTTCTTACCACCTTGAATGTTTGTTTTACCATTTTATATAATTCTTTGTCAGAGTATAAGGAGTCTTTCTAGAGCAACAAGATGGATAATTAGGGTTTTTACTAAAGTAGCCTGAAATATAATCTGACCTCTGGAACCTCTGAGTTTGGGGTTCCGCTTAAGAGGTGGATGGACCCACGAACCAGACTTCCTAGTCCTCATCCCCCATCCCCCAGTCTTTCTCGATGCGTAACTTGGGCACGTTTCTTAATTTCTCAGTACCTCAGCTGCTTCATCGGTGACGTGAGGATAGGTGGGTACTTCTTTGAGGTTATTTTCAGAATTATGTGAGTTCCGATGAAAAAAATCAGGTGCCCAATAAATACCGCTTAGGTTTGGTCTGGGGTTTGGTTTCGGTAATGTCACGGCAACGGAAAGCAGGAAAATTAGAAAACTGAATATCAGGCCCTCACTCCCTTCCAGTATGCAGATCTCAACCGCCACGTGGACGCCCTGAACGCCTGGAGAAACGCTACTGTGCTGCGGCCAGAGCACAGCCTGGCCTGGAACAACATGATCATCCTCCTGGACAACACAGGTACGCGGAGGTGACCACCTTGCCGGAGGGCTGCGCCCAGGACGGGCCTGCTGAACAGCTAGGAAATACAGATCCTGGCGCTTTTCCCCTAACGTGTGTCAGATTTTTTTAAATCATACCAGCTTCAGGCATTTGCATTAAAAATGGTCTTCTTCCATAAATTGGCACCCCCTTCGCCTTATGGGGTGTTTGGGAGAAATGAGACTCTCCCCAAACTGTCTCGTTCCCTCGGGAGCTGGCGTGTGGCAGTGCCTTCAGCTCAGGTGGTGCCATGACCCAGAAATGAACAAGAATGGCTTCTGGGCTGTGACACGGGCACCGCCAGGTCCGTGCAGTGAGGTTCAGGGACTCAGAGGAGCTGCCCCAAAAGCTACGCTCAGACCCTTACCTTAGACAGAGGTGGGGTCTGGCTCCCAGCCCGCAGCAGACTTGAGAACTAGATGTTACTCTGCTCCCCTGGTTCTAAGAATCCAAAGATCCTGTAAGAAATGAGGGTCACAATTTTGGCAGAATTCGAAGCTCCTGAGTCGGGTAAATAGAGTGGGGAAGAGAGATGCACTTGCTTTTCGCAGAAGCAGGAACACGAGCCTCGCAGTAGACGCTCAGCCGTGCAGGCATCGCTGTGCACTCGGATCTGCAGCCTTGGTTTCTCCGATTTGAGTATAACTGGTCGGCAGGGTCGGAGGGGTCAAAAATAGGATTTCTGTGTTTTCATGGAATTTAATCCAAGCTGTGTATTTGTGTCAGAACTGAGCCCCATGGCGGTGGCTCTGATGTGTGTGGTGTGTGTGCACATGTGTGTGCATATCACACAGACTATGTTGATTTTCTGAAGCAGTTTATCCCTAACCTAATAATGTGTTTCATGCACGTATTTTCTGCTTTTCACTTGCAGGAAATTTAGCCCAGGCCGAAGCAGTGGGCAGAGAGGCCCTGGCATTAATACCTAATGACCACTCTCTCATGTTCTCGTTGGCCAACGTGCTGGGGAAGTCCCAGAAATACAAGGTGTGTAAACTGCAGGCCGTGACTTCTTGCACCTAATGCCAGCTTCGGACAGAGGCTGAGAGTGGTGCTTCTGCCCAGTTAAATTCCAGATTAGGCCAAAACAGCGGCAGCTAGTGGACCAGTGGAACACGGCCAACTTCCCAGAGAAGGTGACCCAGACGATGAATTTGTGGGGCCAGACTTCAAGTTTTTTAATGTCAGAATCCCCCACTGTTGTTCTATCGTAGGAGGGAGAAACCCCTACCCCACCTGCAGGCAGCTGTTTGGGGGTGTCCTGCCCTGGGCTGCAGCTCAGGGCTGGTGCGGGGCTCACCCCTGAACTGTGTGTCTCAAGGAGTGCAATGGATGCAGACACCCAGCTCCCTGTCTCCATGGGGTAAGGCGGGGTATCGGTGCCTTCTGGCCAGCATCCTCTGTGTCTAGCTCTCGTCACAGATACACACTTAGATTGTTAGAATTGGGCTGTATCTGATTTCTGTCAATCTCGGCCAACGGTCAGTGATCACTTAGCCCGTATTCCAGTGCTGCCTCTCCTGTGCGGCCCTGAGATGGCACCATCACTATCATTTTCTAGAAGAGTAGTAGGTTACTAGAGTAGTAGGTTATACAAGAGCCACAGGCTCTTGTATTCGCATTCAGGGAGTTCAGTGGCTTCCATGAGCATTTCAGCATGCCTGGATTCACTCTGGGCACTCACTGATCAGAAGCTTCCAGAATGTACATTGACATGTTGACATCCAGAGAGAATGCTGTGCCTCAGGTCCAAGTGACGTGGGGCATCTTTGTATGCACACCCCTTGCCCCAACAGTGGTCATGTGACCACCCCCAGCCTCTGACTGACCATCCGCAGGAGATGGTGAGTCCGCGAGGGAATGTGCGGGCCTGCCGGGCGTCCCGGGAGAAGGCTGCGCGGCACCAGAGGAGAATGTTATAAGTTTATCGCGGTGATAGAGCTGCATGGACTTCCCATAGTATGTGATGCCTGATTTTTGATGTCTTTCATTTTTCAGGAATCTGAAGCTTTATTCCTCAAGGCAATTAAAGCCCATCCAAATGCTGCCAGCTACCACGGTAATTTGGGTAAGGAAGCTTTTCCCTTTGAAGCATGTTCGAATTCGCTGTCACATTAATGAAATGGGCACATTTCTATAACATCAGCATTAGGGGGACTAGTCTTTTCAAATCCAAATTCAATCCCAATCTAGTCCTTTATCGTTTAGTTTTTTAAAAAAGGAATTATTAAAAAGCTAGCTAAGTAGCCACCTTGTTTACAAATCCTAATGTATGAACGAGCCACCCCTCGGCCCTCCCCTGTCAGAGTATTCCCTTCCCGTGATGAAACTTCCATATTCGTCCTTTTTGTAAAGCATCCCGGCATGTCCTTCTGAGGAGTATGTAGGAAGCTTCCAGTCTCCCTTCCTTCCTCTTGCTGCTTCTGTCAGGGGCTTTCCATTCTGGCCTGGCCTCCGTTTCCTGCATTCTCTTCTGCCTGCGCTGAAAAACACTCACAATGGCTATTCCCTAGAACTCCTTTCTTCTGCTTTACTGCTCATCATTGAGGTTTTTCGTGCACAGTGGGCTGATATTTGGAATCATCAATCATGTGAATATTTTTGCACCAAATCTGCTCCCCGGAGCCTCTGTGGCTCCTCATCACAATAGTCCTGAAGCATCAGTCGCTGCTCTTCTGCCCGTGTAGACAGTTCTAGTTACAGTCATCAGGGGCTGCCCTCCTAATGAGTAGATTTACTTTGACTATCATTTTATGGTTAGATCTTGATATTCAAACCCTTATCTCCAGCTCGTGACAATCTATTATTTTGCCAAATGGTGAAGGGGAACCTCTAGTTAGAAGTGGCCGGGCCTGTGCGTGGGCAGAGCTCCACGCCATGTCCAGGGCCCTGTCCTTGCCTCGGTGGCTCCTGGAAGTTTCCTGGCACACGAGCAGCTCACTGTCCTCCTCTCTTTACTTGTTTATGTAGTCATCTTGCTGTCGAGAGGCTGATGAGTAACTGGGGTGGTTAAAGGGACAATCACCAGGAGTGGGATTAGCATGAAGTTTGCAGTACAAACAATATTATTTTAAACAATGATTGCTGGACGCAGCTTGCAGGGTCCTGGATGTTTCTTTGTGCACATGGTGGGGAATACTGCAAGTTTTCCAGAGGTGTTTCCAATGAAATTCATCTCTTGCTATTTCAGCTGTGCTTTATCACCGTTGGGGACATCTAGACTTAGCAAAAAAACACTATGAAATTTCTCTGCAGCTGGACCCCACTGCATCAGGAACGAAGGAGAATTATGGTCTTCTGAGAAGAAAGCTAGAACAAATGCAAAAGAAAGATGTCTGATCCTGTTTCCTTTTTAATTTGTGTATGTGTGTGCATGAAATATATCATTAATATTATGTGGTTACATTTAACCATTTAAAAGTCTTACATGTCATATATTGGATTGTTTTTTTTCCGATGAAAACAAGACATGCAAAAAGATTACAGCACCAGCAATATTCTCTTGAATGCTTGATGTGGTTTTTGCATTTAAATTGTATTTTTTCAGGCAACTCAAATGTAAATCCTAAAATTCCAAGATAGAAGTCTTTTTTTAATTAAAAGGAAAAAGAGAAAAAAATCATCTCAAGCCACTTATAGTTGAATGAAACCTGCATTTGGGATGTGAGCTGTGTTGTATATTATGAACAAGATGTCAATCATGTACAAGAATTGCAAACCTGATCCCTACAATTTCTATAAATATGGAATGTGTCTGTATATTAGGATTTTTATTTAAAGACAAGAAAGAGTAAATTAAGAATTTTTTAATCTTTTTTTAAAAATATATACTATGAACTTCATTTGTAAGGAAATGAGGCATCTATATTTATTTGTAGTTCTGTTTTGAACAGAGCAGACCATTGAGTGAAGAATGGACGTTTTAGCATCTGGTGTAGTTTGGCACGTCCTCCCTCAAATAAATCCATTCCTGCAATATGTTTTGGATTCTCCAACTTGCGCAGTTTCATAACACAGGAATTATGGGGTGGTCTGCCCAAAAAGTCGCTATTAATAGAAAATTCTAGCCCTGCTTTGGGCAAAGCAGGCAGCCAGGGGTTTTTGTGTTATATTTGGCGTTAAGAGGGCTACATGTCTATGTAAGTTGTTCTTGTATGTTTTTAGTTCTGCAGCAATTTTCCGTTTGGTTTAATGGGACTGTGGTCTTTAGACCTGAAAGAAAATGAAGTGATAAATTTTCTCTCCAGAACAGCCACGTATGGGGGGTTTATGATAATTTTGAGAATTGGATTATTTTTCCTGTTTTGTTTGATCAGAATAATCATGTTCACTTGTTTTGGTTTCTTTTATCTATGATGTTAGCCTAATGATTTATGCACTCTGTAATTTCTTATGCAGTAAAAATGATATAAACTGGTATATAGGTATTGCATCACCTTCTTCACAGCTGGTTTTCAGGTTGGAGAATTTTGTGTCAGTCCATCTTTCCCTTAGGAGGAAATCAGAGCAACAATTTGGCTTTTCTCTGGTTTTAGGGCCCATTTAACAGGAGTTCCCTAGAGAGGGAATGTGGTGAGGAGCCCCACATCAGTTGGATTCTCTACACTGACTCGGGGGAGGGGACAAATCTGCATGGAGTTAGATATTAGCAATTCTGACCCATATTTTAAACGCTGCAAACAACATATGCTGGCGAGGATGTGGAGAAAAAGGCACCCGCTTACACTGCTGGGGGAGTGCAGACTGGGCCAGCCACTAGGGAAAGCTGCATGGAGGACTCGCAAAGCACTAAAAATGGATCTACCACATAACCCAGCGATTCCACTCCTAGGAAGCTACCCAAAGGTCACAAAAACAGTAATTCAAAAGAAAACCGATGCTCCTATATTTACTGTAACTCTGTTTACAGTAACTAAGGTATGAAAACAACCTAAATGCCACAGAACAGATGATGAATGGGTCAAGCAGATGTGGTCCGTATACACGCTGGAATACTACTCGGTGATCCGAAGAGATAAACTCGTGTCATTTGTGGCAACATAGAAGGAGCTGGAAGGGATGATGCTCAGGAAAATAAGTCAGAAGGAAACATCATATTGGATGATTTCACTTACGTGTGGAATATAGAGAAAATGAAGAAAAGGACAAGAAAAAGACAAAACTTGCAAGCTGACCATAGATCTGAGGCACCCGGCGGGGGAGAGGGAAAGGCTAACGGGAGGGAGAGCACAAGGGACAGCAGTGATGGGGCCCGGGTGCTGTGGTGGGGGAGAACTCCAGGGGCCACACCCGAGGGAGACATCAAATACTGTCCAAAGATGAACAACAATGTAAGAAAATAAATTTAAAACTAAATAAAACAAAAATAAATCGGCAGTTCTAACTTACTGGGCTGAGGCCATGAGGAAGAAAAGGGCCAAGTTTCAAACCGTCCCTAAATGGGGCCAGAGTAACAGTAACTGCCTCGCGCTCTGCGGCAGGCGCTGTCTGATGTATGTTCTGTGTGCTTGGCACATAGTAGAGGTGCTGGGCACAGGTCATTTTTTTAAAGATTTATTTATGCATATAAGAGCTGGGGTACAGGACAGAGGGGTGGGGGGTGGAGGACCCACCAGAGACAGTGGGGAGCAGAACAGGCAGATTGACCGAAATACTCTGCTGAGGGGAGCAGCGGGTGAGTCAGGAGAGGTCTGTTGTGCCATGTGGGTAGCTCCCTGGTGGGGATCAAACTCGTGCTGCAGAGGCTGCGGATTGCATCATAGCGCTGTGTCTTTACACCTCGCGCCACCCGTGAGGCTCCTCAGGTGATGTTTTTAAGGCATATTCCTCTCTCTGAAATAGTACTTGTCTTTTGAGAGTTAAAAAAATATATATTGTAAAAGCCCCTTCAGGATTCTTTTTTCTTCTGCCAGCGCTAACCTTCATGTCCACGCCTGAGGGGCCCTTCGGGCCTGCCTGGAGACTGAACCCCCGAGCACCCCGCAGTCTCGGGATTTCGTTGCAGCTGGCCTTGTTCCGGAAAGAACAGTCACCAGCTTGACTAATATTTCAGGAAGTCTTGTGTCTCTGCAGATTTGGTGAGTGTCCTGGCACTCTCTTCTTTCTCCTACTTCCGTCTTAAGGCAGCGACCCTCTCCATTTCTGGGTTTCCTTCCTAACCAGACTGGGTTTCCTTCCTAACCAGTGGCCCCTTTATTCAGCACTTCTTTATTTCCATGTTTCTGTCGCGAATCACAGTAGGGGTGGGGGGAGTGTCGAGGCAAACTTGGGGAGAGCTGCCAGTTTAGGAAATCAGAGCCAGATCATCAGCCTTTCCCTCCTTGAGAATAAGGATCGTGAACCCCAGAAGCTGGTTTAGGGTGTGTCTAGTTTGCCTGACAACGTGCTGCTGCTCCCGTCCCTCTTGGAATGTGGCCCTATAGACTTAGCCCACGAGGGTTTGAGCATCGTGATGACAATCAGGACCCTGGGGTTCTGATTCTGTCACATTTCTTAAGCATTTTGTTTTCATTTCAGACTACTGACTTAAAATACACAGAACAGAGGATCAGGCCCCACAGCAAACTGGGGAAACCCTAGTAACCAAAGTGGTTGCTGCCTTGCTTTGCCCATCAGAGAGGAGAGATGATGGGGAGATATGGAGGGGGGGATCTCCTGAGAATGATGCTGAGTAAAAAACTTAGGAGGCGGCACTTCCCCGCTGGCTGAACTACGCGCGCCTGCAGACTCTGAAGCCTGCCTCTCCTCCATCACTGCACCCCACAGGCCGTGTGATTCTCCTGTGGGAGGTAGCCGACATGGGGGGTGCACCAAGCTCAAACTGAAAGGAAATCTGTGTCACACCTTTTCTTGCATTTACCAGTTGTACAACCTTATTCAAGTATAGGCGGGTGGGTAGCGTGTTCCCCAACTCATGTTCACATAGAACCTCAGAATGTAGCCATATTTGGAAATACGGCCTTTCCAGGTAGCATTAGCTCAGGATCTTGTGATGAAATCCCGGATGTGAGGTGGCCCTCGGTCCAGTGACTAGCGTCCGCTGCAGAGAGCACAGGAAGACTTGGGGAGAAGACCGGTTCGCGGGAGCGTGGGTGGAGGCTGAGATTGGACCGGTGTGGCCACAGTCAAGGAACGCTGGGAGCCACAGGAAACCGCAGGAGACCAGGAAGAGCCTCCCTGGAGCCTTCTCAGAGAGCGAGGACCTGCCGGCTGGAAGCTGCCTCCAGAGCCGCCTCCCTGTGGTCAAAAGTCACCTCGTTCACAGTCATTGTGGCAGCCCTAGGGCATGACTAGGCCAGGGGCTCTGTCTTACAGCAGCTCGGCTACTTCATCTATAAGGTGGGGGACAATACTAACGTTTTTCATAGAGCTATTATGAAGATTACATGAGAAGAGGTACATCAAGCCCTAGAGCCATGTTGGCACATAATAACATCCAAATTAATTGAAGGGATAGCCCTCACTTATCTTGAGGCTTTTATCCTGTAATTAAGTAATCTAAAAACCATCTCAGATTTCTATTTTTATTGCTGCTGATCTAAGTCTGAGCAGGGCAACAAGTACTTGAAGTCAATTACACTGTTTATCAAAACTGCCTAGGACATCCTGCATTTCTAGTTTTATCTCTATGACTTTTTTCCCCCCAAGGACCAATAAAGCTTTCTACTTCCTACTTATGTGATAAGTGTTTGAGGAAATATTTTCCCTGTAGATTAAAATTGCACTTTTATTCGTCTTCTAAAAACAGTTTTGTCTCAGCAGTTGCATTCATTTTGATGGCTAGACTTGAGATTTGTCTTGTGAAAAATCACAACTGCTCATTTCTGGAACTTTCTGATAAAGTATGTAGATGATCATTCTATAGCCTGGTCTAGAGAACAGCAGGCATCAGCAAACAGAGCGTGGAAAAAGCAGACTAGGAGTGTGAGAGCTACCCCAGGGTCAACTCTACCAGCTTGACATTTTTTTTAAAAGCTTCCCGAAAATTCTATTAGTTACAAACTTCCAATCCTGCCATGAGCCACTAGGAACCTGGGCTGAGTCACTTAATTACTAGGTGTCTGTTGCTTCTAATAAAAGTAACTCTGGCAGTGATGGTGACTGTTTGTTCATTTCTGCTCTGTGAGATGAGAGGGTTGGACTAAACCAGCCATCTTCAACATCTTTAGATGCTTAATCCTTTTTTTATTAACTAAATCTTACACAGAAGTCTACTATAAAAAAAGAACAAGTGAGACGCTTTGCTCATACACATCCTCTTTTACAATCTACTGTGATCTGTAAGAATGTTTGAAACCCCAACACCCTGTGGAAGTAAAATGTTTTGAAGGGTTCTAGTCCTGATGCAGTGTAATAGGGTAAAAAGTACCTCCGACTTTCAAAGGAAAACAACGCTGCTGATCCGGAGATTGCAGAGACTAGGACAGCTGTGAGGGAACAGGAGACTCTCCCAGACGCACCGAAATCCTAATGTGTCAAGTGCCCCCCCCCGCCCTCCTGTGGGTGGCTGCTGCTCCCTTTCTCCGGAGGAAGCTTGTTCTGGAAAAGCATGAGCAATCAGAAGTGTCGCTATTTGAAATCATCAGTCAGAAGGAACATCCCCTCTGCCTGCAGGATCCAGCCATTTTGACAGAAGCAAGACCCCGAGTCCCCAGCCCTGGGGCAGAGCTTCGCGGAAGGCGACTCCCCTTACTCCTGCGCGCATCATCAAACCTTTGTCGTCTCCAGGGTCACAGGACCCCGGGTCCACTGTAGTCCCAACCTGACCTTGGCCATTTGCACACAGCCCTGGTTGGCCTCCAGCTTGTGAAAACACTATTTCTTTTCAGTACCTCCCAGTCTTCACTCCCCCAAATCTCCAAACACCATCCTTGCTGGGTGAGGCACCTCAGGGCTCTTGTGGCATGCAGCCCCCCCTGCAAAGGCAATAAAACTGACTCCGTCCCATGTGGTTTTGAGCTTAGGGTCTCTGGTTGGAGGCAGACAAGTCACACACTAGTCACATGACCTTGCTCAAGCCATTGAAGACTTCACCTCATCTGTCAAGTGGAAGGAAGCCTCTCTCTACCTGGCATTTAGCAGATAGGCAGGAGTTAGGATCAGATGTGCTCCCACATGAGAAAGCCCCTGGGGGACAGAATCATGTGTGTAGGGCTGTTCATTGGAATTGGCACTTTCAGCAAAAAGTCTCAGTTAAAGAGACAGCGAATCCAAATGACATCATTTTGGTGTATACTGCCTGGCTTCCCTGTTGCGGCACTTATGTTAAGGAGCACAGATGTTAGGACCGCGGGACAGTGTGCCCTTGAGTTAGCCTCCCAGAGCTAGGGCAGGTAGGGTGGGCACGAGAATATCGAATGGGAAGAGTCACGCTGTGCAGAGCCCACAAGGGCACTCAGTCTTCATTTCCCTCTTCGGCAGCTCCTAGTCCAGCTACATTTCATTTTGAGATGTGTAAATTTCTAGATACTAGGAAGGCATTATTTTTTTTAAAAGTTGCTTGTGGGGTCCTCTCTGGTGGCGCAAGGGGTTAGGTTTCAGCACTATGAAGCTATCCGTAGCCACTGCAGCACGAGTTTCATCCCTAGCCAGGGAGCTGAACTGCATGACGCAGCAGACCACTCCTCTCTCCCCGCTGCTCCCCTCAGCAGTGTATTTCAGTAGATCTGCCTGTTCTGCTCCCCACTCTGTCCCTGGTGAATCCTCAAACCCCCCCCCCACACACACACACACCTCTGGCCTACAACCTAGCTCTTGCATGCATAAATAAATAAAATAAGACTTGGGGGAAAAAAAGTTGCTGTTGGGATGGCAGGACCCAACAACTTGATTCTAGCTTTTAGGAGGAGAGCAGTGGTGGTAGAGGATTAGAGGTTGCACCGGGCCTGCCTGTGTGCAGCAATGTAATTAGCTTCCATCATGGTGCACAGCACATTTGGCTGGTCACATGAGTTTTTCTGGGCGTTCCTATAATTATTCTCCTGTTCACAATTAGGGATTTATTCCCCCAAACTAATGAAATCATTCCATATAGTGTTTACTCCAGTCTTTGCTTGTTATTCCTAAAATTATAGAAGATGGGTGAGAATAGCATAAGCCATCGCAATGGTAGCTGCTTGGAAAGTTCCATAGACTTTTTAGAAAAGATCTTACATAACTTTTGTGAGAAAAGGTCAATGCCTTATTTGTAAATAACTGACAGCAGCACACATCATCTTTAAAATATTAATTCCAGAAATACCAGGGTTGAATTTAATTCATGTGACTGTAGCTTCACTAGGTTGGTTTTCTCTGCTCATTAATTTCTTTGCTTTGGAAATTGTTTAGCCATGAGACCTGTTGTGCTAAGTAAAATAACTTGACAGAATGGGGGAAAAAATAGCTCTGCTGCATTCAAATTTAACAACGTTTTAGAACCAGGTTTAGAAATGGAAGCAGGAATTATTTACAAAATGTTTTTCCCTATTTTTTGCTACAAATTTTCTTAATTAGCTTAATTAGTGAATCCAATCTGTGTTGCAACAGACAGGCGCTGGAGCTAGAGAGGGCAGGACAAACTTTTTCCTGAAAAAGGACACATGGTAAATATTTTTAAGTTTTGCCAGCCACATGGCCAGGTACAGACAACACAGACAATGAGTGAGTGGGACTGTATTGCCAATCAAGACTTTATTTATGGACCCTGAAATTTGAATCTGATATAATTTTCATATTATAAAGTATTTTGATTTTTCCAAGCATTTTTAAATGTGAATTTATTCTTAGCTCATGGGCCATAACTCAAACACGCAGCTGGTTGGTAGAGATTGCAAGTGATTTAGGATCAGAAGTGATTTTTTTTAAATTACTCACTAGGACAATGCGATGATATGTCAGATTTTCTAGCCGCCTTTAGTTAGAGTAACTCCTTCTAAAGTCTCCGCATTCTTTTTATTTCATATTGCTACCGTTGTGTGAAACGTGGAACTGGCCTCATGCGGGAAGGAGTAACAGAAAGATGGGGCTACATTTTTTACATAATACTGAGTAGCAGATAGAAATACAAGTTCGGCATCTATTATTTTTCCCAAGTCTGGGAAAACGGTTTGGCAACGACCCGTTGGCATTTAGGTAAGAACAGCCTCACCGGATCAGTTCAAGGACAATTGGCTGTTTAAACACTGAGTTGATAAAGGAAATGTTTGTGGAACTTTGCACCCCGGGCCCAGGGATCCCCAGTTGCTTCCCCGCTAGCCAGGAGGGTGTGGGAGATTGTCCGGGCAGGGCCATGGGCAGAACGAGAAGGAAAACACCTGTGGGCAGAGGCGAGCCCTGTCCCCGGGTGACTCACCTGCACCGTATGGACGCCCCCCGATGGCCCTGGGGTTCACCTGTGTGCCCCCCATCCTGAACTTGCTGTACTGACCAGCCGGGTTCCTTAAGAACCGCAACATTGCTGCCCAGTGAGCGTAGCCGCGCGCGCCCCGGCAGGGAAACCCTCGGGCACCCCAGACTCTGCATTTTCAAACCAGAACTTCCGCCGATTGACCTGCGCGTTAGCCGGAGAAGCCCCGGAGCGAGTATTCAACAAGCCGCGGTGGTCACACCCGACCGCGTGTCAGAAGCGCGGCTGGAGGGGCGCTTGCCTGGGCCCCGGCCCGCAGAGGTGCGCGTCAGGGTGAATTTGGTGATGTTTGAGGGTCCAGACCTGGAGTAAGTACTTAATGCTCCATAGAGATCTAGGCACCGAATAATGAACACAGACAATTTTGTGGCTGTCAGGTGATAATACCGCTGTAAGGACCGTCGTGTTCCAACGCATACATGTGTCAAAGGAACACACCGTTCCCTGAAATTCGCATCATATTGCATGGCGATTTTATAAATAAATATGAAAGTGTCGCTGACTCAGCAGCTCTGATATTGTGCGGTTCCACATTCCCAGGTGCTGCTGATACTGATAATTTCGGATTGATAATGACTGCACTGAGAGAGAGAGAGAGGGATGCCAGATGCTGCGTCCTCGGATGCATGTCTGGGGCCAGCAGGGAGCCGCGGCTGCCCCACCGCCAGGTGAGACGAGGCAGCGCGCGCGCCCGCCCGGCCCAGGTGCGCGCGCGCCCGGCCCAGGTGCGCGCCCGCCCGGCCCAGGTGCGCGCGCGCCCGGCCCAGGTGTGCGCCCGCGGGGGCGCGCGGCCGCGGTGCGGTGCCGCGTGTCGCCTGCAGGGGGCGCGGGGGGGCGGCCTCCGGGGCGCAGCGGCCGCCCGGGCGGGCCGTTTCCGTCCCCAGCCGGGGCCGCCCGCGCCGCCGTCCGGGCCAGGTGAGGCGCCCCCCGCCCGCACCCCGGGCCCGGTCCCCTCCGCGCCGGGAGCCGGGGGCACCTAGGGACTCGGGGCGCCGCCCCCTGCGCGGCGGTCGGGGGCGATCTGGGGCCGGCGGGGGTGGCGGGCGGGGGTGACGGGGCGGGGCGGGGGTGACGGGGCCGGACCGGGCCGGACGGGGCGGGGCGGGGCGGGGGCCGGGCCTGGCGGCGGGGGGCGCGGTGCCGCCGGAAGGGCGGGGACCGGGCAGCGGGGTGAGCGCCAGGACACCCCGCCGGGACGGGGCGGCGCAGGCACCTGCCAGGTACAGGTACGGGCGCCCCGGGCCCCGGGGTCTCCGCCGCGCCGGGGCGCGCACGCCCGGGAGCCCTGTCGGAACTTTGGGGAGCCGGGCCCGGAGGCCGCAGCCGGCCGGCCGCGGACACGCTCCGTTGGCGCTTGTCAGTTTAAGAACGCGGGGCGGGGCTCAGGGGCTCGGGGGCCCGGGAACCCCCATTACGGGGTTCCGTGCTGCTGCGCTCTGCGGGCCGAGGCGCGGGCGGCGAGGGGCGGGTCGGCGGGGCGGGTTTTGCGGCGAGTCCCGGGCGGAGCGCGGCGGGCACGGAGGGCCCCGCTCAGTGGGCGCCCGTGCGGAGGGGGAGCCCCCACACGCCCCCGCACCTTTCCCTGCAGGGGCGGCCCCCCTCGCTCCTGCCCCGAGGCGCCCGCGCGGGTTCGCCTGCCCTTTGCCCTCGCTGTGCCAACGCCCTGTTCCTGCCGGCGCCCCGGAGAGCCCGAGCAGGCCGCCCGGGGGAGCCTTGTTTCCACGCCGGGCTTGGTGGGCTTTCCGCGGGAATCTCCTGGGCGCGCTGACCTTGCTAAGGAGCAGCCACCTTAGCACCAGGCCTAGGGGCGCTTGCTCGTGCTGACCCCGTTCTGGGCAGCGGGGAGTTGAAAGGACAGAAAGTGGTGCTGGTTAAGTTCAAGCGTTGCTTTTTCTCATTATTGTCTCTGGTTAAGCTTTCTAGAAAGTTCCACTCGAGAAAGCTCTTCCCGTTGGAGTCACTGAAAGACTTTGGACCACAGCGGGCATCCCCTGCAGGCTGGGCTCCCCTGCAGGCTGGGCTGGGGCTGGGGGGCAGGGGCAGGGGTGTAGGGTAAGGGAAAATGTCAGGCTTTTCTGCCCTCCCGCCATCAGGAGAGAGGATGGATCCTTGTGGTCCTGAATGCAGGCCTGATGGCGGCACCTGGAGTGGGGTGTGGGCACAGGTAGATGGGATTCACCTGGGCTGAGACTGGGCTTTTAAGGGCGGCGTCACCGGGACGCCAGCAGAAGCCAAGAAGCCAAGAACAAACAGAAGCCGGGAGAGAAGCAGAGAAGGCCGGAGAGCCCACGCAGAGTGAAGACTCACTGGGGGCTGGGAGGCCTGCCAGCCTCCCGGCCCCCCAGCACCCCTGCCTGCTGTGTACCAGGTAAATCCCAATAAAAGCCTGCAAAAACCACTGAGGACTCTGACTCCTCCTCTACCCGGTCTGCCTGGGATCAGAAAACCTGCCCTGTGTCCCATTCCTGCCTCTGCAAGGGGGCAGCAGCTATGTGTGCAGAGACGGGTCTCCAGGAAAGGGGACAGTGAGGGGACATCGCTAGAACGTGCATCTGCAAGTGTTAGAGATTTTATTATGAGCGTGTTGGTAAAACCTGACAGCCCAGCATCTTAACAGGAATTCCTTCTTTAGCTGAAGTTTTCCCTGGGCAGTGACGCTGCTCAGCGGGAGCGCTGGTTCTTGTTTAGATGGGACGGCCCGGGAGGCCCTGAGGCCCTCTGGGCGGATCTCACTCTGGATGAAGTAGCCCGGGGTGGCCTGGCTGCTGAGGTCGTGACTGGGTGGATATTCAGTAGCTCAGGTGTCAGGGAATAAATGCCTAGGCAGCGTGCCCTCGGGGCGGGCGATGCGCCCTCGCCAGCCTGTCTGGGGAAGGTTGCCCAGGTGCCCGACCTTGAGCTTAGAATTTCTCCAGGTGGACACCATGGACAAAGATGAGAGGCTGAGTGTGCAACCACGTTCCGAGAACTGGGAACAGCCGGTGCTGAGCCCCGAGCCCGGTAGAGGAGCGGAGCCGGTGGGCCTGCCTTTCCATCCAGGTTCTGCTTTTTTTCTTTCTTTTTTTATCCCAGCAAGCACGAAGGCAGAGGGAGGGTGTAATGAACTTCCCCGTAGCCCTCAGAGCACAAGGCTCGTAGAGGCAGGAAGGACCCAGGGCAGGTTTTCTGTGACTCCAGCAGACGGGTGAAGGAGGAGAGCCCTGGAGCCCTCAGTGGCACTGCAGGCTTTTATTGGGATTCACCAGGTGCACGGCAGGCAGGGGTGCCGGCAGGCCTCCCAGCCCCCAGCAAGTCTTCACTCTGTCTGAGCTCTCCGGCGTTCTGTGGTGGTCTCTCTGCTGCTTCTCTCAGTTCTGCTTCGCTTCTGCTCTCTCGGCTTCTCCTGGCGTCCCCGTGACGCCGCCCTTAAAAGCCCAGTCTCAGCCCAGGTGAATCCCATCTACCTAGGCCCACACCCCACTCCAGGTGCCGCCATCAGGCCTGCATTCAGGACCGCAGGGATCCATCATCTCTCCTGATGGTGGGAGGGCAGAAAAGCCTGAGACTTTTAAGCTCGTTAAAACAATTTCTTTGGCAGCCCCGTCTGCCTCATCTTGCCTGCTGGAGCAGCTGTTCTCCACTCCAGGCGACACTACGCTTCACACCCAAATAGTGCAGCCGCCCCCGACCCCTGCAAAAGGGACATTGTCCTGTGTGACTGTCACCCCATCACCGCCCCCCCATCCACACAGCGATTCCTTCCTGCTCTCTAGAAGCGCCTCAGCAACTGCCCGTGGCGTCCGTGACAGCCTCCGACAGGCACTTTGTGTGGGTTCAGGGAACTGGAATCCAATGGGCACCCCAGAGGATCGTTTGTTGTCTCTGCTCTCTCTTTTATTCCGGGGCTGACAAACTTTCTGGAAAGAACCAGACTTTTTTTTAAACTGTGCTGATTTTTACTTGAGGTATTACATCGCTTGGCAACAGTGTGTATGATGTAGGGGTACAGGTCACACCTCTGGTTATGTGTAACTCCCCCATACCCCCCACCATGATGGCGCCTCCTCCACCCGGGTCCTCTGTGGAAAGCGCTAGATGTTCTCTCGGGCCCAGCTCACTGCAGCTGTGCACTGGGCAGCTGTGGCCCGGTGAGCTCGCGCAGTCAGCGGCCTGTGTCCTCCGGGGCCATAGTTTGGGGCAGTGGTCTTGGGCAGCCCCTTGGTTATTTCAGTGCCGGGGGCTTGTTGGTGTCTCCCGGTTGCTTAGCGACCACCTCCCCTTTGGGATCTGCTTGGCCTGTCCGCAGTACGCTGGCTTCTCCCCTCTCCCTACGGGCCCTATAAACTGGGAGGTAAATCTCAAGACTCCCCTGGGTGCAGGTTCACCAGATTTGGCAAAGAGACTTCAGATGTGGCCTGGGTTTTTAAAAATATAAATGCATGACTCAGAAACCCTCAGCCACAGAGTTCTGTCAGAAATAGGCTTTGCCTGGAAGCATGCTTTCCTTACTTGAGGGGGAGGCTGCAGTTGCTGTTTCTCAAGGAGGTGGAGACCCTGGAGGCCCCTCCGCCCAGTATCCCTCCACCCAGTGGCCCCTCAGGCAGGTGGACATTTTCCGGTGCTGGAAATGCCTTCTCTGGGTCCCCACGTGAGGCCTGGGGTTCTGTCCCCTGGGGTGGGGATTGGGTTTTGTGTTCAACTGTCTCCTCCTCTCAGCTTTCTTCACCCACCTCCTCGTCTCACACCCCGCAGGCCTGAGGAGTGGACAGTCGTCCTTGCATCCTGCTGGGAAGGATCCGGAAGTCCAGGGTCTCACACGCCTTAGTCCATCCGTGCTGCTGGATTCAAGGGCCACGCGTGCTTGAAGAACAGCTCAAGGTGAGAGCCGCCCTTGCTCTGTTCTGGGGTGTTTGTTGCTCCTGGATTGGGAGCACAGGGGGCGAGTGCTGGGCCGCCGCAGTGTGAGCTGGGAGTCTGGCCTCACTGCTCTTTGAGAATCTTCGGGAAAACTTTCTGATGACCCCTTGTCCACTGTGCCCATCCTCCCAGACGGCACGTCCCTGGCCTTTTTCTTAGTGATGTGTAGGAACGCTGCGTGCAGTGAGCATGCCGATCCCTTGTCATACACGTTACAACTGTTTCCCTCATCGCCACCGTCCTTTCTTTGTTTTGTCTACTGACTTGTGCTCTGTAGAAAACTGTAATTTTTGTGGGGAATAGAACATCCGTCTCCCCTTATGGTTTCCTTCTTATGTGTTTTGCTTAGAAAGACCTGCCCATGTCAAGGTGACGTTTTTAAAAGTCTGTGTTAACACGGACACACGAGCACGTGTTGAGAGTGGAGGACGCGTGACGCTGGAAGGGACACAGACGGCAGCTCTGTGCGTCACGCTGGCATTGCCATGGTCCTACTGGGATCCAATGCTGAAATCGAGGGATGGGTATTCGGGTGAGGCTGACATTGTGACTCGCCTTCTGTGTCTATTTCACTTCCCATTATAGAAAAGTTTTCTAAGGAAAGAACAGGAGCAGGAAAGCACCATCCTTGTTCTGTCAGCGGGTGTTACTGAAGCCACACGCCGTTCGCTGTGGTAAACCCCCATGGGAGACGCGGGTCAGGGTCAAGGGCACCAGTGCTTGTCGGCTGCCTCCTTCCAGCCCTGTCTCTGCCACTTGTTAGCTGGGTGACTTCAGACTTCTTAATAAGCGGGCGTGACGGTCGTGTCTCTCTGAGAGGGCGGCTGAGAAAGCCCTTCGCACGGGACTTGGCATTGAGAACCTGCTCAGTAATTGTGAACCTGAAGAGAATAATTAATTGCAGGCCAGACAGGCCCCAGGTGAGAGGGGCCGACTGTGGGTCGTGACCTCGCCTGGCCGGGTCGGGAGGAAGAGCTGAGCGGAAATGTGCGCGCGGAAGGCCAGGCCTTGACCCCACCAGAGCGCCCTTAGCAGTTGACGTGACGGGACAGACGGGCGATGACCTGGGGTGTCTGATGTTGCATTGTGTCCTCAAGTGGCTGGAGCAAGTGGCACCAGCTCCCGGGCTGCAGACACCCCAGATGTGTTCTCTCCACTTTGGAAGTGGGTCTCACTGAGCTGACATCAGGGCATCAGGGGGCTGGTGTCTCCTGCAGCTCTCGGGGGCAGTCTGTTCACCTCTTTTCCAGCTGCTGGAGGGAGCCCCTGCGCTATCTGCCCCAGGTGGGAGAGGGGGGTCCACTTTCAAGGGCTGTGTGGTTAGAGGGGGCGTCTGGGACAGTCCAGGATGGTGCTGTGACTCCAGATCCTTGACTTTGGTCACAGCTGCAGAGTCCATCCTGCCAAGTGCAGGTTCTGGGGATGAGGACACGGGGATCCTTGTGTTGGGGTGGGGGGTTGGGGAAAGGGGAGCTGCCTTTGGAGACAGGCAGACGTTAGTGCCAGTGCTGATGATCCTGGGGTACTCTCCATGCTGAGCTGGGGGACAGGCTCCTGGCTCAGCATCGGAAGTAGGGGCTTCAAGAGACGTGCGCCCCGAGTACAGAGGCCACCCGGTCTTCAGAGCTCCACCGAAGGCTGCAGGAGCTGGCGTTCACCCCTGCCACGTCCTGCCCGCCCCCCCACTCTGCCCTCTGTACCCCATGTGGTTTTGCTGCTGTAGTTGCTTTTTGACCTTTTTGTTTTTCTGTCATTTTTGCCCACGTGATTGTTTGGCACACTCCCCTTTAGCGCCACCGGACTATTTTCAGCAGAATTCCTACTAAAGTATTTAGCATTTCCGCCTCTGTGAACTCCAATTAGACAAGAAACCCCTGGTTCTGATGCCCCGCGCACCCCACACCACAGGCACCTGCCAGCAAGCACCATTCCCCTCCTCCATGTGGTGTGGGGCCGGGACCTGCCTGTGGCGGAAATCAGAGGGCCCCCCCTCCTGCCCCCTACCACGGTGTGCTGCAGTCCTTGAGCGGACCCGCGTGCGTCCACACGTGCACCACCCTCCCCGCTGTGCCATCCGGGTCGGAGGGTGGGTGGTCATGTTGGTGCCTTTACCGTCCCCCAGCCCAAGGGGGTTTGCAGTGGGTGGGCACCAGCCTCTCTTCTCAGAGCAATCACACCTGCTGCCTTGGGCTACTCTCCTCCCCTGACTGGGTTTTGGGGCGCGGGATAGACACTATCAGAGTGACACGGGCAATCGGGGTATCTTGTAAAGGAATGAAGGCCTGATGGCAATCCTGGGGTGTTTGTGAAGTCCCTGTGTTTCTCTCTGAGCATTTTATTGTGAATATTTCCAGGCAGGTTCAAAACTCCAGGACTGTCAGCTGTCACCTGCCCACAGGGCGTCAGAAATCCACCCCACCCCCACCCCCACCGCGGTTTTTCATCTGTTGTCAGCTGGAAAACTTTGATGCAAATACCAAAACTCATGTTGTCTCACCCCTAGCTATTTTAGTATGAATTTTGTTTTAAAAGTTTATTTAAAAATAAGTTTGTTTTATTCTTTTACATAGCTACAGCCTTACCTTGAACAAAAACTCCTTAATATCATCCAATACTGCATGGATGTTTCTCCATCTTCTGAAACACATGTGAGCTGTGGATTCATTCATCAGGACCAGACAGCTCTTGCGTCTCCTTTAATAATTTTGATGACACATGACGTGTGCTGGCTTCCTCTTCTTGCACCTTCTGTTTTTAACTCAGCATTTCAGAGCCCTTGCACACTTTCATTCATTGTCATGATTTAAATGTGTGTGACGTAAAAGACATTTTTGACGTGTAATTCTCTGAGTTTTAGAAAGTGCTGATTTGCGTTGCCATCATGGCAGCTCTCGTCAGGGCAAACCGAACCGCCCCTCTCCTACCCCTTCTGGCCAAGCCTCTACCCACCACCCCCATCCTCACAACCACTGATCTGATTTCCAGCCCCCTAAGTTTTGCCTTCTTCAGAATGTTGCAGAAATGAAATGACTAGTCTGAAACCTTTGAGACCGGCTTCTTTCACTCGCATGGTCTTTGCTATCCACCCACGTGGCCGTCCCTTCTGTGGCTGAGGAGTATTCCATCTCATGGACATGCCACACTTGGTGGATCTGTTCGCTGTTGCTGAAGGACCTTTGGATTCTTTACAGTTTTTGGTGATTATGAGCCAGTTGCTATAAACATTTGTATGTAAGTCTCCCGTGATCAAAAGTGATCCTCTTTCTAGGGCAGACCTCTGGGAGTGAGTGCCTGGGTCATAGAAGCAAATACACATTTTGCTTTCTAAGGCCCCCCCACCTGTTTGCAGAGTGGCTGAGCCATTTTGCATCCCCCACCAGCAACCACAGTTGCTCTGTGTCCCTGTCAGTACTTGATATTGTGTTTTTAAAAATTTGAGCCATCCTAATAGGTGCCTTATTGTTTTTGTCTGATTGCAGTTTTGAGAGTTATAAAATATTTTTGATAATTCTTGAATTACTCAATTTATTGTGCCTACCTGTTATAAAAAATCAGTATTCCTGGGGTTTTGGTGTTATACTTTTAAATAAGGTAAATATCCTATTTTATAAAGCAGTTAAATTAAAAATTAGGATTTTCTTAAAGATTTACTTTATTTACATATACAAGAGTGGGGTGCAGGCCAGAGGTGAGGGGAGGGGCGGTCAGAGGATCCACCAGAGACAGAGCGGGGAACAGAACAGGCAGACTGACGGAAATACACTGCTGAGGGGAGCAGCGGGCGAGACAGGAGAGGTCTGCTGCACCATGTGGGTCAGCTCCCTGGCCAGGGATCGAACTCATGCTGCAGTGGCTGTGGACAGTTTCATAGTGCTGATGCTTAATCCCTTGTGCCACCAGGGAGCCCCTAAAATCAGGATATTATATTGATAGGAGACTTCTTGAATCTCACCGTTTGACATATCGTGTCTGACACAGGCTTACAGGGTGGCGTCTGAATCTAGGCATTGTGCAGTGACCCGTCATTACAGGCATCATGTTCGCATCTCAGGCCTCTCTGCCTGTTAGTAACCAATACTGCGTAATTGCTTTTGCCATCAGTTTTTTGCTGGATGAGATTGATGGTGAATAGTTAATTACATGAGAGCAAATGGATGTAAGCAGAGAGTAATTTCTTTGAATGGCTTTTAACTATGAACACCGTTGTGGTTTAAAAATGGACTGAGGGACAGTAGTAAAAGCTTTTTCCTTATTAAAGCCTGCTGAGCTCAGGGAGGAAAATGACTTGGAATGTGTTTGTGAAATGAAGACCGCGCGTCTCCCTGGATACTCCGGGGGTGCCCCTCAAGTGGCAGAGGCCCCAGGTTCCTCGCCAGGATGTCACTGCTAATGTCACCGTCCTCATCCCTGTCGCTTGATGAGACTGACAGTGTCAGCGGCAGGGCCATGCTGAGGGAGGGTCTGTCTGTACGCTGAAACCCCCCCCCCCTGCTGTGGCCTGAGCTGCTGGCTGCGAATACTGTCCTTGAACACCGGGGTGGAAGTCCCTCCATCCTGTGGAAAGGTTGGCATCCAGACAGGTCTTACTTTGGGACTCGAATCTCTGTTTTTGCCTCTGGAAAGTTGCTGGAGCATTAGCCCTAGTGACAGACCGTCCTCTGTGACCAGGGCTATAGGCAGACACGCAGCCCACCGAGGAAGGCCCAGGACAAAGTGCGGGGCGGGGCGGGGCGGGGTGGATGTTGGCTGGTGGCGCTCTGGGCGCGCACTCCGGTATTTGATTTAGAATGCAAAGACAGAGGATGCATTCCCGTGGTCGTCATTTTTTTTTAAAGATTGATTTATTTATGCAAACAAGAGCTGGGGTACAGGCCAGAGGTGGGGGGGGGGTGAGAGGATTCACCAGAGACAGAGTGGGGAGCAGAACAGGCAGACTGACTGAAATACACTGCTGAGGGGAG